TTTTCCCGACTTTGGGTCATTGACCTGACCTGGAAGGTCAACCAATGACCTAGGACCTTAAAATTGGGTATCATCGGCTTCCTCTCGTCACGGGCAACACGCTCGTTTTTTCCGCGAAGCTCTAGCTCGATCAGGGGCCAAACGGCAAGGGGGGGTCCAACCGACCCCCCCCCCCTACACATTAGAAGCTGGCAAACGCCGCACACATGCGAGGGTTAAGTCAAAAAGTGTTAAATGTTTAAAAATCGACAAAAATCAGGGTTACGCCCCCACTTTTTCGCCGGGCCATAGCATTAAAACGGCGCGCCGCAGGCGCGCCAAATTTTGGGTACCTGTAGCGAATTGATTGAAGTTTATTGTGACCAAGTTTCAAAAAAATCGGTCGGAAAATTTTTGAGATATCGAGGTTTTAGTGACGTCATGATTTCTGAGTTTTCGACCAAAAACGGCATATGTTAAAAAAATCATATAAAATCACAGAATAGACATACAGACATGCCGTAAACGCCATTGGACTGCCAATACCATGATCAATCAAATGGCTATCTTCAATTATTGATTATCGTTCCGCATTTTCCAAAATCTTGAACTGAATCTTGGCAATTTTTCGTGATCATGATACATGAATTTCTTAAATTGAGCTTTTTGAGCCAAACACGTACACATATGATAAAATGAATGTCACCATCGTGTTCTACGCCACAAATTACCTATAAAACATGTGTCACAGGCTGCGAATATCAGTTTTGATTTTCGGGGATATGTGCCTACCCGGTTGACCTGACCTTGACCCTGACCTATGCTTGACTGACCCCTATATGGAGCTGACACTCTTGTAGGCCTTATAAGATGGATTATGCACCGTTTTGACAGAGTTTATGGCGAGAGGCGCCCATTGCGAAGTCCTGAAGTCCATGCTACTGAAAGCCCGATTTCAGGTGTTTGACCTGACCTTGACCCGACCTGTGACCTCAAAATTCAATTTTAAAGTACTCATCTGAAGCGTCTCGTCGCGCTCTTTCGTTTGCCGCCTCGTGCGTTTCGCTGCGCCTATTGGTTCTCGAGTTATCGGCTGGGGGCGTCAGGACTGGTAAAGTGTTATGTCCTATTGACGTCGTCGGGGACACAGTACCAGTAAAAGTTCAAGTACCCGGGGTCAAAATTGCCACATTTAGTAAACTTTTACAGTAATAAATAGCTTTCAAATAAAGCAGAAACTAAACGTAAGTAAAAGATATCGTGGAATCCACAACGTATATCCCCTTTAACAAGAACATAAAAAGCCCCTATACCTAACACATACCTACAACATGGTTATGAACAATTAGTAGCCACAACTCACTTCCGTTAACAGCAAAACTACCGTCGACAGTTGCTAACGAAAACTAGATCAAACCAGATGATCAAACACATTCTAACAAACGCTTAGACACCGACCCCGCTGTCGGCTGTGCTATTTCAAGCGGGGTTGATTGACGACCAGTTGTAGCCAGCTATACGACTAGACAAACGACTAGATTCGGAACCGGGGTCGCACCGGTTGGACATGGTAAATTCATGCGGGGTCGATAGTTTCTAGCCGTCGTCGTTGTGAGCTACCGATACAATAGCGACACCTACTGCATCTGTTCGACGATCGTTGCGCCCCCTACCCTTTCCGGGTTCTTCGTCTGTTACGCTACCCGCTGACCGAGTGATGCCGTGACATTTAATTAACAAACTGGAAATTTCGAAGCGCGAGTCTGACAAGCAATTTAGTACATATGACTGCTCGTAAAAAAATATAGAAATGAAACCTAAGGAAACGCGCATCGTAGTTGCATGCAGCCTGCATACATGAATCGTAAAAGGTCGGGGTCATTTTTCGCTCTCATTTTTTGGTCGGGGACGCAATTTGCTTTTTTACCAGCCCTGGGGGGCGTTTAACGCCCCCCCCCCCAGCAAACGGTGGGTGGCGAAATATCCCAGCAACTGCCGGGTTAACCTCGCCCGCACATGCCATTTTCTCATCCTAGAACGCACATGGGAGGAGGGGGTGGTTGCCACCCCCCCCGCGCCATTTCGTTCCTGTTGGAGATAGAGCTTAGCAGAAAAGACCAAAAAGATTATTTGGGAAGAGACGAATCCAATGATACCCAATTTTACCTTATCAGGTCAGTCATTGACCTTCCAGGTCAGGTCAAACTAAAAAATGTTGTTGTTCTGGGTCACCGTTGGATATCAAGTGCGCTGCTTATCAAATACCGATGACGATGCTATTTTCTGGTGCCAAGCCAGCTAGAACGTCTTTGTCACACTATCCGACCAGAATTTTGCTGCTGAGGTCATTTCAGGTCAAGTTAGGTCAAGGTCAATTATATGTGTTTGTATGTCTGTGTGTGTCTGTGTGTATACTGATGTATGCACCGATTGTTTTTGGGTCCATATCACATGAAATCATGATCTGAGAAGCTTTTACCAAAAATGCAGTCAAAAAACTTCACAAAAAGTAAGTTCAGCTTGCCTAAAACGCAATTATCTTAGATGACCCAGGTTGACCTTGACCCTGACCTTGACCCCTGTACATCGTCGAACAACATGTTCCATGATAGGTGGGAGGTAAGACTGGCAAAAAGGCCGAAATCAGGGTGTCAAAAGCTCACAAGACCCATGGCAAACGCAAGATGTTGAGAATTGGCCATTTGGGTCATGACATGACCTGAAAAACAAGGTCATATCTCCGAAACCAAAAATCACAGAAACTTGAAATTTTCAGTGGACATCAAGAAAGGATAGACGAGCAGCTATACGAAAAATCAGCCTTCTAGCTCTAAAAATGTTGAGTGCAGAGCAGAAAGACTGCCTGGGGGGGGTGGCAACCACCCCCCCATGTGCGGGCGAGGGTTAAGCAAATTGCAAATTAAGGACATAAATATACGCAGCTCAACGAGATCTTAAAAATGGTTATCTCAGATTTTCCATAAAATGCGTTTTTTCACCCCTAAAAATTCAAAAAACTATATTTTTTGGAAAACAGCTGATAAAATCCAAAATTTTGGGAATTTCCAAAAAACGGGAATACATGTTATAGAGCTCTATTTGAACAATAGATGTCCCAAATTTCACCTTTCGATCTTGATTTTTGACTCCCAAATTGTAAAAATAGCTCCAACATGCATAGGGTATGGTGACGTCATAAACATTTTTGTGAATTAGAGGCACTTCTGAACATCGCATGTGAAAACAAATGACACCACTTAGATTCCTGGGACAAAGCTCGTCTATAAAAGGGCATTTTTATGTCAAAAATAAAAAGTTTAAAAATTGATTTTTTTTTCTTAGCCCTCGTTTAGTTATGTATGGTATAAACGTTTTTTGTTATGCTTTCAATGTACACTTATCACCAGCACAGTGACTTAGGGTCACATATAACCATTACATCGGATTCGGCGTGAAAAATAAGCCATAAAACATGTGTCGCACGCCCATGTAGCAGAAAGTGAAAACCGTGACCTTTCGTGACCTGACCTGACCTTGACCCGTACTTAGTATGACCCCTATACGCACATGGTACCTTCATTAGGTCTTTGAGGTCATTTGTGGTGAGTTTCGAGCAGCAGCTATCGATTCCACTGTCCGTAAGCCTTATCATGCAAAACCCCAGAATTTGACCTTTGACCTGACCTTGACCCGAATGTTGACCTCAATCTTAAAATCTTAAGAGTGCTTTGGGAAGGTCTCGTAGAGACCTTTCGAACGCCGCCTCGCGGGGCTCGATGCAACCATTGGTTCTCGATATAACAGGGGGGGGGGGTCGGATCCGACCCCCCCCAGGCTGTCGTGGGTACGGAAATAGCCGAGGCGGTGCCGGATTTGGTCATTTTTGATCAGGTCATCGCCGAGGTCACTGGAGGTCACCAAAGATACAAATTTCACGATTTTTTTTGTACCAATTTTGACATCGTTTTTACAAATCGGCGCATAAGTTGGGAACCAATAGAGCTACAGCGCTGCGGACAAGCGCATTCGATAGCTCCTTTCAAAGGCCTTTCTGAGTATTTTTCTAAGATTTGACCTAAGGTCAACAGTTTAGCCTCCAGAGGGCAAAACTACAAAAATTGAACGTTTTTGCGGAAAAAGTTTTTGCATCATAACTTCTCACTCAAAGCTTGTATGACGCTAATTTTACCAGCCTCTCGTTTGTCTCGTCGAGACACGTCGAATGAGCTATAAGATGACCTGAAATTTGAAAAGGTCAACTTGAAAATTTGACCCAGGTCAAGGTCACGGAAAAGGTCATGTTGCATTTCATTCGATTCGTATTGCTGTTCACTGAACACATTCATGGTGTTTTCAGCGCTCTAGCATGTCTATATCTAAAGCTATTGTCAAAAAACTGTTTGAGACGTTTCATGACCCGAGATGACTCAGGGGCATAAAAGGGGTCACCAGCGTAATTTTTCGGATCAGTATGTCATGTTTACCTATGTCACGATGTTTGAGGGTGTTTTCGGCCAAACAAAGAGCATTTCAATTTTCTCCCATTGACTTATTATGGAAAGGTCGCAAAATTGACCTGACCTTAGGTCACCGATATGAAAACTCTGAGATACACGAATTGTTTACACTGGTCTCGTCATGCGAAATCCCGAGTTTCAAACTTCTGGGATGTAAACTGTACGAATGACAGAATCACAAAGTTTTTTTTTAGAGGCATGGTTTCTTAACTTGACTTGGTGACCTGACCTTACGTGACCTGGGGTCAAAATTTAAACACAAGATGCGAACTTGATGTATAATAAGCTATAACAAGTTTCGCGGCGCTGCACGCCGCGGTTTTCTTTACACGCGCAAAAAATTGGCAGGTGTGGCCAAAAAAGCCCCCCCCCCCACTCGGGCGAAGAATAATGGCCTATTGCGTCACTCTAGTTTTTTTTTCTTATTTTCAGGCCTGGTAAATCGCAACAACAATTCGAGGTTATGTAACCAAAATCCCTTTTATGAGGAAATCGTATACTCACCACGGTTTTCCCTGTTGGATGTTTGCCATCCTGTCGGACATATCGCCGAAAGGATGCTGTCCGGGGAAGATGATGTAGTGAAAGACACATCCGAGCGAAAAGATGTCAGCTGTCTTCTCCTAAAAGAAAATATGCAAAACAACAAATGTAACAAGGGAAAATATCATGATGACCAATTATAAACGAGATATTCTAGGACAGTTGTTGAGAACAGAAATATGCATGCTTCGGAAAAAATTAAAAGAAGCACGTTGATGAGATTGATGGAACACGACATTTGATATCTCATCATTAACCCGCGCCCCACTGGGGTCTGCGTATAACACGCCCTACTGGGGGGGGAGGGTATTCATAGCCCCCCCCCCCTCCTAACTCCGAAACTACTGGGCCGATCGTCAAAATTCAAACGGCGTCTGATAGCCCCGGATAAACTGTCGAACGAAACCTAATTTCATTGACCTTGAGGTCACCGATGACGTCAGAGGTCAGGTCAAAGTAAAAATTATTAGCATTTTGGCTTGTTCACGTTTTGGGCTCTGGCCGCCGTCTTAAAAGTCAGAGCAGGCGCATTTTTGGTTCACACACTCGTGAACATATGCTCTAGATACCCTGAGGGTACCAAACTTGTACTTTGATTTTCAGGTCAAGGTCAGGTCATCACAGGTCACGAAAATATTATGTCATGCGTCGGTCACGTGACACATGTTTTATGGTCCATTTAGGCCAAATATTTCGAATTTGATGTCGTCTGTGTCATTCAAGGTCATTTTGAGTCAAATTTAGCTTAGGTCAGGTCACTTTCAGGTCAAAAAAGGTCAAATTTTAAAGTTATAATTTTTCAACAGAAAAGGTGTTTATTGGATGCAGTTTGAGCTCAGGAACACGATGGTGCTATTTATATTGGCGTACGATGTCAAAAACGTGGTGAAAAATTGATTTGAAAAATTAATATTTGTTAATTTTTTTGCAATAATGCGTATAACTTGGCCATTTTTGAAGAAATTTAGCTAACACATGCTGGATTTAGTCATAATAACGCGTTCTATCACATATATTCCGGTTTTTTTTCGAAAAGTCAAAAAAAAAATTGAAAAAAAATGTAAAAATGTAAATTTTGAATTTTATTATATAAAATTTTCGAAATTTTCAAAATTTTGAAAATCCGAGATAACAGTTTGATAGCGCAGTCTATTCTGAGTCCTCTCATGCAAAGAAATTGGATCTAGCTTAAAAACTGAGCGCTTGGGAGTGATTGCCGTGGTTCGATGTTTTGCGTCGAAATCGGCCGAACATGACGTCACTCTGACGTCATTTCCGGCTGACCTATGGTAGCTACGAAGTTCAAATTTTGACACAAGGTGTCAAATTGATGCAGCCGAAGCAACTGAGAGTTTGGCGTCGATACGTCAAGCGATTTGGAAGTTATTGCAGAAAAACGGGAGGGGGGCTATAAATAGCCCCCACCCCCAGTGGGGCGCGGGTTAACCCGCGCCCTGCTGGGGGGTGTTTGAACACCCCCCCTTGTGGTTTTTCGCGAATATCTCAAAAACGGCGGCGCGGAGCGCCGCCGTTTTTGGTACACCTTATCATACATCAATTCTACACATGTTGTAAAAATTTCAGACCAAGGTCATTCAAGGTCAGGTCACCAGGTCACTTGAAGTGACCTCACCTCATAAAAAGTTTCAATGTCTGTCATAGCTACACCGAGTGACCGATCGCTTTGAAACTTTCAGCGATTGCTAAGAGCAATAGCATGTACAAAATGTATATCTCAGAATTTTGATATCGATGACCTAAGGTCAGGTCAATTTTGCGACCTCCCCATTGTAAGTCAATGGGAGAAAATTGAAATGCGCCTCTTTTGGACAAAAGACATTATAAACACTCCCAAACACCGAATTACAAGTAGTTTAGACACACTGAACATGAAAATGGTGTCCGTGACCCCTGTTTATGCCCTGAGGTCATCTTAGGTCACGAATGGTATCTAACAGTTTTTCGCAAATAACTTTTGATAGAGGCATGCTAGAGCGATGAAAACGCCTTAGATGTGTTCAGCTCGACGATGCGGATCGACTGATATGCAACATGACCCTTTCCGGTCAGGTCATGACCTTGACCTGAGGTCAAATTTTCAAGTTGACCTTTCAAGGTCAACTTATAGTTCATTCGATGCGTCTTGACGAGAGGAACACGATGCCGGTAAAAGTAAGCTCGTACAAGGCTTGGGTCAAAAGTTATTGCAGAAAAACTGTTTCCGAAAAAATCGGCTATTTTTGCAGTTTTTGCCCCCTGCAGGCAAAACCGTTGACGTTAGGTCAAAGGCCTGTTTCACTAACAAATAAAGTGTGTAATTACAAAGAAAAAACTTGAGTTTAAAAGAAATAATTACCAACATTTGAAATTTGGATTTCACGAAACCTTCGGGCATGAATTTTGAGTTTAAAATTTGCAAACTTTTTTACAAGAAAAAGTTTGCTAGAAAACACGGGAATCGCAAACTTTCTGTTTCACGAAGACCAGAAACTTGAAAGAAAACATCGTAATTACAAACCTGAAATTCCAGTGGTCCTGACGTTCGGAATTTTGATACTTTTTGTGCAATGATGCAAAGCAATCAATTATTTAAAACAAATATGATATGCTGAGTCATTATATGCTCTTTTTCACTTAGCACATTCCCTACGAACCAGCTACGAGCAATAAATAAATATCGTCATGTTTTGTCATTCGCGCGCCATAATTGCATTCAACAGTCTTCTGCTGTCAAATGTTTTACGTATTATTTTCTTTCAATAAGATATTGTGAACTATCATTTATACCACTCAGAAACAGCATCATTATTTTTAATTTATTCCTGCAATTTCTGACATGAAAACTAGACATAGTTTGATAAAAAGAAGCAATATCTGTAACATGTTAAAGTTCTTGATTAAAAACAATTTTATTGTTTACAAGTTTATTTACCAACTCTTTTTATCGGAGATGCCGCTGGTGATGAAGTTAAGTGAAACCCGATTTTACATAGTTTGCAAAAATACTTATGAATTGTTAAGTTCCAACACTTGTAATCGCAAGTTTTTAGTGAAACAGGCCTCAAATCTGAGAGGATTACTCAGAAAGGGCGTTAATAGGGCTATCGAATGCGCTTTTCCGCGGCGCTGTAGCTCTATTGGTTCCCGAGTTATGCGTTGGCTTCTTGGAAATTTTCGACATTCGACCCGGAAATCGGCGAAATTTTGCCTTCAATGACCTCTGGTGACCTGACCTTTGACCTGACCAAAAAATTGACGGAAGTAATTTCCTCATTATTTTTGACGCTTTTTCGAACTCCGCCTTCCGCGTATAGCTACGTGGCCCAGGAGCCGAGTTAGAAGGGGGGTGTTCAAACACCCCCCCCCCCCCCAGCAGGGCGTGGAAATCCAGGACCCCCAGCCGGGCGCGGGTTAAGAAAACGCATCATAATAATCAGCATGAGCATTGAGCACGAAGCCCATCAAAATGATTACGCTGTTTTCGTTTCTCTTTGGTTAACTTCTTTATTATGCGTGTGTTGATGGAATAAATAAAAATGTCATATTTAGCCTGTAATTTTTTAAAAACACATCTCTGAGGAGATCGTAGGCCGGTATTTTCCTTTCTGTCAGAGGCCTGTTTCACTAACAAATAAAGTGTGTAATTACAAAGAAAAAACTTGAGTTTAAAAGAAATAATTACCAACATTTGAAATTTGGATTTCACGAAACCTTCGGGCATGAATTTTGAGTTTAAAATTTGCAAACTTTTTTACAAGAAAAAGTTTGCTAGAAAACACGGGAATCGCAAACTTTCTGTTTCACGAAGACCAGAAACTTGAAAGAAAACATCGTAATTACAAACCTGAAATTCCAGTGGTCCTGACGTTCGGAATTTTGATACTTTTTGTGCAATGATGCAAAGCAATCAATTATTTAAAACAAATATGATATGCTGAGTCATTATATGCTCTTTTTCACTTAGCACATTCCCTACGAACCAGCTACGAGCAATAAATAAATATCGTCATGTTTTGTCATTCGCGCGCCATAATTGCATTCAACAGTCTTCTGCTGTCAAATGTTTTACGTGTTATTTTCTTTCAATAATAAGATATTGTGAACTATCATTTATACCACTCAGAAACAGCATCATTATTTTTAATTTATTCCTGCAATTTCTGACATGAAAACTAGACATAGTTTGATAAAAAGAAGCAATATCTGTAACATGTTAAAGTTCTTGATTAACCCTCGCCCGCACATGCCATTTTCCCATCCTAGAACGCACATGGGGGGGGGGGTGGTTGCCACCCCCCCCCCGCGCCATTTCGTTCCTGTTGGAGATAGAGCTTAGCAGTAAAGACCAAAAAGATTCTTTGGGAAGAGACGAATCCAATGATACCCAGTTTTACCTTCTCAGGTCAGTCATTGACCTTCCAGGTCAGGTCAAACTAAAAAATGTTGCTGTTTTGGGTCACCGTTGGATATCAAGTGCGCTGCTTATCAAATACCGATGACGATGCTGTTTTCTGGTGCCAAGCCAGCTAGAACCTCTTTGTCACACTATCCGACCAGAATTTTGCTGCTGAGGTCATTTCAGGTCAAGTTAGGTCAAGGTCAATTATATGTGTTTGTATGTCTGTGTGTGTCTGTGTGAATACTGATGTGTGCACCGATTGTTTTTGGGTCCATATCACATGAAATCATGATCTGAGAAGCTTTTACCAAAAATGCAGTCAAAAAACTTCACAAAAAGTAAATTCAGCTTGCCTAAAACGCAATTATCTTAGATGACCTAGGTTGACCTTGACCCTGACCTTGACCCCTGTACATCGTCGAACAACATGTTCCATGATAGGTGGGAGGTAAGACTGGCAAAAAAGGCCGAAATCAGGGTGTCAAAAGCTCACAAGGCCCATGGCAACCGCAAGATGTTGAGAATTGGCCATTTGGGTCATGACATGACCTGAAAAACAAGGTCATATCTCCGAAACCAAAAATCACAGAAACTTGAAATTTTCAGTGGACATCAAGAAAGGATAGACGAGCAGCTATACGAAAAATCAGCCTTCTAGCTCTAAAAATGTTGAGTGCAGAGCAGAAAGACTGCCTGGGGGGGGGTGGCAACCACCCCCCCCCATGTGCGGGCGAGGGTTAAAAAACTTTTTATTGTTTACAAGTTTATTTACCTACTCTTTTTATCGGAGGTGCCGCTGGTGATGAAGTTTAGTGAAACCCGATTTTACATAGTTTGCAAAAATACTTATGAATTGTAAAGTTCAAACACTTGTAATCGCAAGTTTTTAGTGAAACAGGCCTCTGATGGATGCGTTAATTTTACTTACAGTTCCCTGTTGATATTCACCCATATGGGCTTCCGGAGCCATCCAATCCAGGGTACCGACACCAGCTGTCATTTTCAGCTTGCTGGCTGTCATCTCCTTGGATATGCCAAAATCGGCGAGCTTTGTCACGATCTCGCCTTTTTTGCTTTTCACCAGCATCAGGTTGGGCGGCTTGATGTCACGATGAACTGTGAAGGCGAATATTGTTATTGGTTTTATTTTTGACGTGCACATACATGAAAAGTGTAAACAAATTCAATTCCCCATACGTATTGCCCACCCACAGTGATAACGTCAAGGTTACGTGCAGTACAGGGTGTCCCAAAAATAATGTCACACATTTCCAGCGTCAATTGCATGAAAATAACAAACATGAGAGGTGTGCTTTTCTTACATATGTATCCAACCTTCTCTCTGATACGGGCAAGCATACGGTCCGGAACATCAGACATCAACATATTCAGCTTCTGTGGACTAATCTTGGACCAGGCAGATCGAACGTTCCTGGTCAGCGTGCCTTCAGATTATCCAATCCTGGTGCCACTTTGTTCAACTCTTACCGGACGATCGCCCTAAGATTTTTTATCGGCGACAGGTCAGGGCCAGGCCCATGTCGTCCCCTATCTCCCTGTGTGTCCAGGTGCACAGATGACGTCACACGAAGGGGCGGAGTCGGGGGCGGAGCCTGGCGCAACGGCCGCCATATTTGAATTTGTTTTATTAGAATGTATTCTACATTTTGGGTTTCAGTCAATTGTTATCGATAGTTTTATGAACGGTTAGCTGTAATATAAGTGATTTATCAAGAAAAAAAAAACACATAATCTGCTTACAATTTCGATTTAAGTACGACCCGCGCCTAGATTCGAACGCACGATCTTTGGATTACGGCGCAAGCATCCTAACCACTACACTACCGCGGCGGCGTGGCGGCCGGCGGAAGGGAGGCTGCCGAGGCATGAGGGCTTTTTTTACGCATTTTCGGAAAAACTAATGGGTTTAGTGAAAAACGCTTCTTAGATAATTCGAAGAAAAATGTTTCGGCTTTCCAATAATGCACTTAGTTCTGTGCTAGCTTTAGCAGAGTTTGTTCTAGAGCGCTTCAAAAATCGCCCATTTGCATAGGACTTAAACGGGACTTCAAGACTTGCCCCCAGATGACGTCACGATCAGGTAGAATCGCCGGACGACCCTACCTGGTATATAGGGCCTTGGTCGGGGCTATTCCCCGGCCATTTGTCCTTCTCCCAGAATGCTGGGAAGTTTGATCTGCACCACCCCTGCGTCGTTCTAGCTCGATGAGCCGGGGTGCCGTCCTGTTGAAAGATATCCCTGGACATGTTCAGCAGAAGTTTTCGGCTGGAGACGTGGCTTGACGGGCTTCAGCTTTAGAGACAACCTCCGGTACCGATGGATTGTCGACTTGGAGACTGAATGACTGTTGGCAATCAGCCCCCTGCCAGTTTCCTTGTGGATAAGCCCGTCTTTAGCTCAGCACTTCGCGATGACGACCTGCGCTACCCGGCTGGCGGGAAGTCTTTCTGCCGCGACCTAGCTTGTTCTCAGGCATCTATCCGCTTCTGTCGCGTGACAACCAGCGCCAAATCGTGCGGCAACTCATGCCCAGTTTCTCGGCGACCTGGCCGTGGGTCATGCCGCCGGCAACAATGCCTAAAGCCTCGCTGCGGGACGATTTGCTCTGCAGTTTTGCCATCCTGGACACCTGGTCCGGCGCGCTGGGTACTGCCCCGGAAATGACCTGCGTACACCCCTTGACCGGTCAGGGTCACACAAATTCGAAGGTCACGTGACTAGAATGTAGCCAATATGGTCTGGGAGCCAGTACCGGCGAAATTATATTGGTATTGCGGCGTAGAAGGCAAAATAAGTGTTGTGAGAGCGTGTGACATTAATTTTGGGACACCCTGTATATCTAACGACCGAACGCACTCTGTGCAGGTAGTGGCGTATATTAACACACGATAGGGTTTTCCTACCCATGAGTTAATTAAGTCTCGCGATGGACTCCGCTACCCCCGAAATCCGAATCATCGACTGTTTGGGTGTTTGGTTTGTTAGCCTTCGCCGGCACAGGCCATTTTGCGTCCTTCAACGGCACAAGGGGGGGGGGGGGGTTGGTACGACCACCTCCCCTCGCGTTTGGCCCCTCATCGAGCTAGAGCTTTGCGAAAAAAAACGAGTGTGTTGCCTGTCACGAGAGGAAGCCGATGATACCTAATTTTAACCCGCGCCGGGCCGGGGGGGGGGGTGTTTGAACACCCCCCCTTGCGGTTTTTCGCAGATATCTCAAAAACGGCGGCGCGGAGCGCCGCCGTTTTTGGCACACCTGTTTGTGCATCTTTTCCGCATATGTTGTGAAAATTTCAGACCCAGGTGACCTTAGGTCAGGTCACCAGGTCACGCCAAGTGACCTCACCTCATAAAAAATAAGAATGCTCGTCATAGCTACACCGACTGAACGATTGCCTTGAAACTTTCAGCGATTGATAAGAGCAACACTATCTATAAAATGTATATCTCGGAATTTTGATATCGGTGACCTAAGGTCAGGTCAATTTTGCGGCCTCTCCGTTATAAGTCAATGGGAGAAAATTGAAAAGCGTCTGTTTTGCACGAACGCTATTCTAGACACTCTCAAACATCGAGATATAGGTAAAATAGACACACTGAACCAGAAAATGGCAACTGTGACCCCTCGTTATGTCCCCGAGGTCATCTCAGGTCACGAACAGAATCTAACAGTTTTTCGATGATAACTTCTGATAGAGGCGTGCTAGAGCGCTGAAAACGCCTTAGATGTGTTCGGCTCGACGTTGCGGTTCGACTGATATGCAACATGACCTTTTCCGGTCAGGTCATGACCTTGACCTGAGGTCAAATTTTCAAGTTGACCTTTCAAGGTCAAATTATAGTTCATTCGACGCGTCTCGAGGAGAGGAACACGATGCTGGCAAAAGTAATGTCATAGCTCTTTTGAGTCAAAAGTTATTGCCGAAAAAACGTTTTTCGTAAAAACGGCTATTTTTGGAGTTTTTGCCCTCTGGAGGCTAAACCGTTGACCTGAGGTCAAATCTGAGAACATTACTCAGAAAGGTCTGTAAAAGGGCTATCGAATGCGCTTTTTTGCGGCGCTGTAGCTCTATCGGTTCCCGAGATAGCCGTTGGCAGTTTCCAAAATGTTGAAATAGTCAACATTTTACCTTTGGTGACCTCTGGTGACCTGACCTTTGACCTGACCCAAAAAATGACCGTAGTGTTTTCGTCCTTATTTTTGACGTTCTTTCGATTGCCGCTTACTGCGTGTCGCTACGTGGCCCAGGAGCCGAGTTAGAAGGGGGGTGTTCAAACACCCCCCCGCGGCCCGGCGCGGAATCTCAGAGCACCGGCCCGGCGCGGGTTAAGGCCATATTACCCCCCCCCCCCCCACTTTCCCCTCAACGGGGCGAGAGTTAAGACCACTGAACTCTATAATGTGGAAGGCGCATCGGCCGCCAGATGGTGTCCAACGGTGCCGCCATGTTGCGCAGACCAGGAAGCGGCCGCCGCCTGTGTTGGGGAATAGGGAATTCGGGACCTCGATTTACGTTTGCGGCCGCTGTTTCCGTTACGCTCAAGCTATGTGAACACGGAACCAGGCATCCTACGCAGAATTGAGTGGAGAACAAGATGACATCTTAAAAATCCTCAAATACAGGAAACTTATACGTTAAACCCTTATAAGTCAATGGGGAAATATGGAAATTGCTATTTTGGCCCCGGGAATGATCTGAAACTATCTCAAGCATATAGAATCGTGATTTCATGCACTCTTTGCAAGGTCCAATGCTTCTTCACATTTGCATTGTTGCCCTTGCGTGACGTCATCTGTGACGTCACAAGGGTCATAAACTTTTCTTCAATAACTCCAGATCAAATTGAACTAGCGAATCGGGAAAGCAACAAATGGACTCAGAAAGACCTGCCGAATCGAATGATATGCAACATGACCTTACTCGACCAGCTTCGTGACCTGAGAGCTCTGACCTGACCTTGTCACGAGGTCAGTGCCGTAAATTGACCTCACCCGAACAAAAAGTATATCACTCGATGCGCCTGAGCTAAGTGAGCACGATGATGCCAAAATCGCGGCTCTACGGCCATTTTTGGCGAAGTTATTTACCAAAAACCGAGCCCGTGCCTTAGGTCACTTGACCTGACCTCAGATGTCAACGGTTGACCTGAGACCTTTAAAGCGGATTCCTACCAGTCACTCTGCAACGTACTCTGCCTCATACGACCACTTTACCGCTAAATTCTAGTTAAATTAGCGGCGCATTAGCGAGGTGGGTTCAATCAACCCTCTCGGCCGGGGCGAATGTAGAAAAACGATGGTCCGGCGGGTGAATTTGAGGAATTCTGAAGATTCGATCGTGTTCCCCACTCAATTCTACGTAAGATGCCAGGTTCCGTATATACGTAACTTGAACGAAACGGATGCGGCGGCCCCAAACGTAAATCGAGGTCCCGAATTCCCTATTCCTCAACACAGGCGGCGGTCGGTTCCTGGTCTGCGCAATATGGCCGCCACCGTTAGACACTACGGCCAATAGGGTTGAAACGGCAGTGCTCCCCCGTGGTTAAGACAAATATTATTGTGCTGCTTCTTTTTACACCGCTGTCGTCACCGTTTCGTCCTCTCGCGCTTACATCCATGAATTGCAAAACGTCACCATTCTTCCTCTCCACCATGAAAGCATCCCATGTTTCCAAATACCCTGATGTTTCCTGACTATCATAGAGATTAGTGTGCCTGACTGTTCAGTGCTCGTGAAGGCTTTCGTCACCAAGTGCCTTTTCTTCAACAAATAAGCATAATCGATGTAACATCGCCAAACCTTGAGTAGATGTGCAAGGGAGAATGCGCAAGAGTTTTCTGAACCTCTCGGCCTCAGCTCATACCTAAATTTATGATTACCTCTGAAGCTTGACTGTACATCGTTTTTTTTTTTTTTACAAACAAGCTACTAGCAATGGTCGACGATCCAGATGTTTCCCGATTTAACCGTCCTCGATCGCTTGCAACGGGTGTCAGGCAGCCACCAAGCCATGCATCGGGGTGCTTTGTATGTATACAGTGGATCTAGTTAGGATCTCCAGGCGTAACTATAGGCGGTGTGCCACGCAGCAA